TTGAATCACATTTGATAACTTAGACTTTGACTTACTATTTTATTTTGAAACCCTTACATGTACATGTCACAGTACTAGGTGCCACATTCCTCTGGTCCCCTAAGAAGTGTTATTTCTCCCTCTTCTTCTCCACTCCCCTCTCCATCTCCTGTCCCTTTGGGGGAAGTGGGGCTCATCTTAGAGTAGGTAATCTGCTTTGGAGATGGAGTAAAAATTTCCCCTTTTGGTGCTCCCCAATAACTCTCCAGGGCGTGTTGTATGCCGGGCATTTTTGCTTGGCTGAAATACCCAGAAATCTCCATTGATGTGAGACACTCAGGGCCACAACTTAGACATACTTTAGACAGACTCTTTTCTCCTTGCTGCTTTCCCTCTTTCCCCATCTTGACTGTCTCTCCACACAGCAACCCTAGAGGCATTATGGTATCACCAAGCCAGCCAGGCGAAACATGGGCTTGAGTTCTGGTGCTGCCACTTAGAAGCTCTGAGACCTTGGGCAAGTTGCTTTGGAATTCTGTGATCATGATTTCTCCAATTCTGACCGCTTCTGTATTGTAGAATTAAGTGAGAAAAGTGCATCTAAGGCAGGACCCCTTAAGTACACAGGCACATAAATACTAGCTTCCTGTCCCCCTTTTTTGAAGGAATTTAAAGGGAAAATACTGTGGTTTCCCTGGGGAACATGAGCTGAATGTGGGCATGGTAGCCAAAACTAGTTTTAGGTGGGTATCTAGGGATAAACTGTCAGTTTCCTGTGAGCTCCTGGTGAGATCAAAGATGTTAAAAGGGAGTTCTGAAGTAAGGGAGGCTCAGGAGGCTGTAAATGGCAATAAGTAACCACTGCTGACCTTCCCCCATCTCCCCTCCCCAGATCTGGGTGCTTTAATACTGCTGCCTGTGCCAGTGGGTACAAAGCCTGTTCCTGGAAGGGTAGACTTACCTACAGTGACTCCAGCTCATGGACTTCTCTTAGTCACAGAAAGGTTTGAGGTGTTTCTTGGCATGTGTTTTACCCACTCTCTGTTTCCACTTTTCCTTGTTTTCTTCCATCACGGCAGTCAGTCAGCCACACTCAGCGTCTAAGAAACATTCTTTTGGGGCTGGTAACTTTGTAGTTAGTCTTACCCACACCCTGCTGATAAGCCAAGAAAATTCCTGCACATAAACTTGAATTGCATAAGTGAGCCATTTATAGCATTTGATCAGAGTTGAGAACCAAGAAAAGAACTGCTTAAGCCTGTAACCCTCCCCAGTACAGGGGAGTGGGAAGACTGAGAAGACTGAGTCCCAGGGGAACTGCCCCTGTCTCAGCAGATGTGCTGGGGGCTGGGGATACCCTCAAGATGCTTAAGATGTAGGGTCACAAATAACCAAACATGAGGCTACAGCCCAGAGAGTAACCAGGAGACTTCATAGAAAATCTGACATCCCAGCTAAACTGTGAAGGACAGACAGGCTTCAGGAGTTATTCTCACCTTAGCCAGGAAATCCTGCAAAACAAGATCAAAGTGTAACCACCTCAAGACAAAATAGTGCATACGGTAGGGTAGCTCTCCACAGGCCCTAGCTAGATATTTTTAAGTAATGGACTGTCCTTCCCTTTGGGGAAAACCCACAAAAACACTCATACTCCTTGAGGCAGCTATTTGCCTTGCATTTTCTTTAAACAAAGTTCAGTGCCTTGTTTCTGTCTTGGGGCCAACATCTTTATTCTCTGTGGTCACTGAATTAGAGATGTTTCTGGCTAAAAACCTTAGTTACAAAGCACATTTTAAAGTTGAATGTTTCCCTACTTCATGGCTACAACCAGTGCTTGGAATCTCTTATATTTTAACAGAACTAGAGAAAGCAGAGATCTGGTAGACCCCAGCATCTCCTCAGCCCCCACCACCCCAGGCATTCTGGCACTTGGGTGTTTATTTTCACACATAGCCCCAAGGTGGTCACACTGGCATGCTTGTTCTCACAGTCCTCCCCCACAGCTAAAAGCCCTGTCTGATTCAAGGTTGTGGATTAGGTCCTCTCCCTCCAACTGAGTGTGACATAGTTTCTGAGTGAGCGTTCAGAATGCCTGCAAGTTACTGTAGTTAGCAAAAACCCTGTGTTTTCATCTTGGTTACTGCTAAAGAATCCTCTTGTGAGTAGCATCAGCCTCAGGTCTCTAGCTGCAGAGTTGGGAATTGAGCTGCCACAATAAACAGCTGACATAACAGAAGCTGCAATGATCCCCCATTAAATGTCTTTTAGCCGATAGGGGCTCCCAGGATAATTGACTTTCCAGCAGGAATTACTGGCTTAAACAAAATCACTGGGCATTAGGGCAACCTACTGCATCCTTTGAAAGGGGTATGAATGGAACTTTGTCTGGTTTTGCTGACCTGACAGGCATAATTCATCTTGATTTTTTTCATGGTGCTAGTTGCTACCAGATAACATTAGGTTTCTGGTGACTATAATTACAATATGGGGTTGAATTTAACAATAACAATACATATATATATATATATTTACACACATATCTATATTATAAAATCAACTACAGTGTCGCTCTTGCTTTATTATTGACTTGGAAGGGCGCTAATAATGTCTGCCTAGGGACCTGATGTATGCACTGCTGGATAGTATTTACCTAGCCTTCCTTACACACATTTTTCACTAGATAAGCAGGGAAACAATTTGGTGTGATCTGTTTCCTTTCAACTGACAGGGTGTCACTTGTGTCAGACTTACCTCAACTGTGTGCTGTTGCTGCTATGAGGAGAATGGTCTATATTTCTGAGCCAGCTTTTAGTAGAGAAAGCGAAGTGTGACCCTAGAATACAACTGAATAATGCTTCTTGCTTCAGGTACAGAGAGAGAGAGCAGAATTCGGCCAGGCTATCATTTCATCGTTTTAGAACAAGATTCCTTTTGCAGTCTAAAGAATACTCTTCTAAGAAATCTGTGCTCTCAACCCCACATGCCTTCCCCCCACCACTTAAACACTTCCTGATAGCTGGGTAATGTGCATGTATGTGCCTGTGGTCCAGTAGAAGGGAGAAAGGGAGCATGTAACAGGCTCAAGGCCCCTAGTTGCATCCTTCAGGATAGGAATGTATAGCAAAATTATACTGTGAAATTGCATACTTACCCCTGACACAAGAGGCAGTTTAACTGTCCGTATATGTGTTTGTGTTTGTTTTAAGGTATTTTTATTATTTTATGTGTATGAGTATATTGCCTGCATGTGTGTAAGTGCACCGGTGTTGTGCAATGCCCACAGAGGTCCTAAGAGGGCATTGGATCCCCTGGAACTGGATTTATGGACTGTTGTTAGCCACCATGTGGGTGCTGGGAACTGAACCTGGGTCCTCCGCAAGAGCAGTCAGTGAGCCATCTCTCCAGCCCCCAATGTTTATATATTTTTTGAAGTTTTTTTAGTTGGCTCATATAGCAAATTGGGTGTGTGCCAGGCAGTGTTGTATTTCGCTGGGGTACAAAGAAAAATAAGATTCATTTTCTGTCAAGGAGTATTCCTTCGATGAAGATGACGTAATTCAAAAGACTGAAATTCTGAACTAGCAATGGGCAGAGACTGCTTCTAAAATTCTTTCTTTAATTTTATTTTATGAGTATTTGTTTGAATGTATGTAAGTGCACCTGTGGAGACCAGAAGAGGGGGTCGGACCCCCTGGAACTGGAGTTAAGGATGACTATTAGCTGCTACGTGGGTGCTGGGAATGGGACCTGAGTCCTCTGTAAGAGCAGGCAGTTATGTTAACCACTGAGCCATATCTCCAGCCCCTGCTCCTAGACTTCTTAGTGAAGCCAGGGTAGATGGTGGGCTTCTTACACAAGAGGTTTAAGGAGGTGTCTGAGGGGGCTAGAGAGATAGCTCAGCAGTTAAGAACACTGACTGCTCTTACAGAAGACCTAGGTTCAAATCCCAGCACCCACATGGCAGCTAAAAGCTGTCTGAAACTCCAGTTCCAGGGAATTCAATGCCTCTTCTGTCCTCCACAGGCGTTTCACGACACGGGTGAAATTACATACATGCAGGCAATACATGCACACACATAAAATAAAAATAATAGGGGCTGGAAAAATGTCTCAGCAGTTAAGAGCACTGGCTGTTCTTACAGAAGACCCGGGTTCAAATCCCAGCACTCACATGGCAGCTAACAACTATCCATAACTCCAGCACCAGGGGATCCGACAGCCTCTTCTGACCTCCATGGCATTGCACGACACAGGTGCACTTACCTACATGCAGGCAATACACGCATACACATAAAATAAAAATAATAAATAAAATTAAATAAATAAATAAAAGTAAAAATAAAATATTTAAAGAGGTGTCTGAGGAGTATGTTATCCAGCTGAACAAAGAACATAAGCAAAGACATGCTCACCCTTCCCTCAGACAGTTGAATGCTTTATGGTGACCTAATCAAGGCTTGGGTTTTTAAATTTTTTCCTAGTGAGATGAACTCTTGTTCCTAGTCTGCACCTCAGGCATAGTCTGGGGCTGTTTGGCGAACGTATCACTGAGGCATTCTCATCACTAGGCTTAGAGCTTCTGATGAGAAGTTAGGTTGAGAGACTAAAACATCCGGGTCTTCGCCCTGTTCCCTAGACTCTGTGACCAATCACGTTGTGGTGAGGAACTGGGCTGAGCGTCTTCACACTCAATGTTCAGCGAAGAGGTCTCAGAAAGGGCTTCTGCAAAGTCAGCTAGGGCATTGGGTTTTTGTGTTAGCCTCAGCATTGTCAAGCATGAGCAGCTTCCACCTTTGCCAACAAGGGGAAGTGATTCTTCTGAACCCCCATTGTTTTAAAACTTTAATCAAAAGCAAAACAAAATGTCACTGAAAGGGTGATAGAGGGGTCCTCTGAGTAGACTTTTCTAGGGTGAGCAAGGAGCGCACAGATGCTGAGGGTTGTCGTCTCCATGATCACCTTGCCCTTTCACTCATGCACTTCCTAGTCCCCTCTGAATGCTGTGTTTTGTTCCTCTTCAGAATGGTGCTTTGGCCTGGAGTGATGATGTCGATGGAAGCCGGGGAAGAGAGATCTCTCGAGATTTTGCCAAGGTCTGTAATGTCCTTTGTGATAGTGATATGAGCAGTTCTACAGTGGGTTGTATCTTATCTCTACAAACACAGATGTGAGTGTCCAATGAGTTGTTTTTGTAGTTATTCAGATAGTTGTAGTAGCTCTGGTGTAAGACTGTCTGCAGAGAGATGAAACGTTTCACTGTGTTTCTTTTCTTGGGGTTGGGGCTGCAGCTGTATGAACTGGACAGTGATCCCGAGCGGAAAGAGTTCCTGGACGACCTCTTCATCTTTATGCAGAAGAGGGGTGAGTGTGCTGTCTCCTCATTGTTCCGATTCAGTGCTTATTTATCGAGTGCCTACTGTGTGCAGTCACAGTTGCTTGCCTATCCTCCTCCACCCACCCATGCCCAAAGGGTGATTGGTTCAGGAGTTATTTGAATAATTGACAACCAGATTGAAGAGAACAGAGAGAACCTTGGCAAAAATGGATTTGGCCCTGCCTTATTTTTGTCTCTCTTCTGATTAACTGGTCTCTGGAGACATTTCAGATTCAAATATGCTCTTATATTAGCCTTATAGCTGCCCTAGGTTTCATTTAAACCAGCATGTGGGGCTTACTGTTGGTGTAGCTAGTCCCAAGGGACTGAAAAAGTTAAGTGAAAGCACAGGGGCCCCCAGCTTGTTCTGGAGAATGTGAAATGTTCCATGGGAGGGAAGGACCAATGTTTTCTTGCCTTTCGGTCTCTTTAAGCTAGTTGAAACATTTCCTGTTGAGGGACTGGAGAGATGGCTCAGCGGTTAAGAACACTGTTCTTACAGAAGACCCGGGTTCAAATCCCAGCGCCCACATAGCAGCTAACAACTGTCTGTAACTCCAGTTCCAGGGGATCCAACAGCCTCTTCTGTCCTCCAAGGGCATTACACAACACGGGTGCACTTACCTACATGCAGGCATAACACTGATACACAGAAAATAAAAATAATAAATAAAATTTTTTTTAAATAATAAAAATTTTTTTTTAAAAAAAGAAACATTCCTGTTTGAATATTCTTGCAGGTTAACTGTAGGGTACATAGTCATCCACTTGATAATTCCATTCTCAATTTTTATGTCCTATTCACTCCCCCACCCCACCCCCAATAGCCATCTCCAGTCTGGAACATGGTGTGACTACATCTTGAGCCAGTGACTCAACTTCCTGGCTTTATGTCCTGTCATAGCATTGGGTTCACCAGCTGGGTCCGCCCTCAGGAAGCATGGCCAGGACCTCAGCCACCCTAGGAGGCAGTCCTCTTTGAATGGCTCCACCAAGACCCTGCTAATACCTGATCACATATCCCTTAGGGGTCTGTGTCAGCAACTTTATTAAGATCTGGGAATGAAATTATTCTCTTTGTCCTAGGCTGAGCTTGAATAGCGGCTTCTAGCAGTTAAGTATTCTTGAATGCATGCCCCCCCACCTCTGCTCCTTTACCCCTTTGCCTCTTTCCTTCCTTTACCTTCCAAACTCTTACTGCCTTCTTGGTAGTGGGGTATTAGTGCTGGTTTGCTTAAAAAGGCAATCAAAAGTTTTGAGGCTTTGTTCCCCTCAATCTCCAAGCCTATCAAAGCAGTGTAAGCAGTCCTAATTAGTTTACTCCCTCAGTGGTTATCTGGAGCTCTGTGTGTGAGTAAAAAACAAGTATACAGTCCTGAAAGATAATGTGACTGGCAGCAGCAAAACTCCTTGTGCCCTGAGAGAGAGAAATCCACTTAATACTTTGGTCTCCCCTTCCAATTACCTTTTAATTATTTACAAGCTTCACAAGCCCAGCTGGTGCAAACCCAGGCACTGATCCTGTCTCAGAGGGGCTGCCATAGCAGTATAGATTTTAATCAGCGGTAGAGCTCCACTGCTTTATTTTCTACTTTATTGTTTTTCTCCCTTCCCAGAAGGATTTTTAAAAGAAAATGTAAGCTAGATCAGCCTAGTCATGAGTGAAGATCCGTGATTGTTTACTTCTTCATGTTCCCACTAGGCTCCTAGAAGACAGTCACTTTGTCACACCTCTGTCTCTGAAGCCAGGCAGGTTGTGCTCAGGGTGTGCTTGCTGTCTGAGCATTTTGTTGGTTCTCTTGACTCAGCTGGCTATGCAGGTGGCTGAGCTGCCTTGAGCCTGGCTTGTTTCTCGAGCAGTTCTCTAGTTGAGGTCAGTGACTGAGGCCAATCTTTATGGCCCACCCTGCTATCCTGGGGCTGCCAGCTTGTCATCTAGCATATTTTTGAGTGATCTCCAAGCAGGAGTCCAGTCAGTGACTGCCTTTGGCAATGTCAGTTTATAGCTCCTCCAGGCCCTGAGTAAAATCTTTGTTCTCGTCTCCAGCACTTTTGCTGGGTATTTCGCTGTTTGCTGACATCACCAATAGAATGGAAATAATTGAATCTCCTACTTGTTAGTTACTGGAATATAGTTTTTCTTGGCCTTGGCAACTGTTGGGTGCTGGATTGTCTTATTGTGGAGGCAGTCTTGTGCACTATAGAATGTTAGCAGTATCCTGGGCCTCTTGCAAGTACATGTTGATTAGCAGTGCCCACATGATAATTAGAAATGTCTCTAGAAGCCAGGTGTAGTGGCACATACCTGCAATCTCAGCACTTGGGAGGTAGAGGCAGGAAGACCCAAGTTCAAGGCCAACCTGGACTACATGAAATTCTGTCTCAAAAACATAAATGCCTCTAGATAATGTAAATGACCGTAGGGGACTAGTTGCCCTTTAGTAAGTGTCACTGCCATAGCATGGGAAAGAGTAAATACAAAATGTTCTCTGCAGAAAAATGTCTCTATGGAAATCATCTTAACTTGTTTGTCGGGGGAGCTTTTGTCAGGCAACGTCTCAGGTTCTCCATCTTCCTCCTGCCTGAGTGCCATGGAAATAGATGGGCTGGAAGCCCATCCTGGCCTGGGGCACAGAGAAAGCCTGTGAGAGGAACCTAGGACATCCTTCTATGAAAGACTATTATCTACTAATCTAAATTAGAGTGGAATTCAGCTGAGCTGGGAGCAAATTGCATTTCTAATCATGTGAAGCATTCTTTGTTCTTATTTGCCACTCCCCAGAGTGGTATGCTATTTGTGGAGCACTTGAGGCAGATCTTAGCTGGGACCAAGGAAAAGCTCCATAGACCTCTGCAGCAAGTCAGCACCTGGCCTCCCAGCTAAAGTAAAAGGGTAAGCAGTAGATTCCACAGGACCTGCTAATGTGGACCCGAATTTAAAAGTACTGCTTTCCTGGGTTGGGACCTGGGCTGGGGGCAGCAGATGCCTCAGAGGAAATGTACAGGGCTCTGAGGAAGGCAGCCCACAGCAGGCTGCCCCAAATGACTGCAGCTGCAGGTGATAAAACAGTGGTCCAGTGGGAGAGGGGCACAGGCTGTAACTGCTGCTTTGTGCTGCCTGTTAACACATTTGGGTGAATTGACTGCAACAGATGGGCCTTTCAGCCTTTGGCCTTTTGGGTTTCTAGGCTGTGCTCTGTAAGGTGGCAGCCCTCCCCTCCCCTCTCCTCCTCCAAGCAGCCTGCTGGTAGGGGAGCCAGAGAACTGAGTGAGCTAAGGCAGTGCTCACTCACACTCAAGTCTCCTGTTGGCCTAGGAAAATGAAGCCCTTGGAAATGGAAAAGGTTGTGGACTGATGAGGATGGAGGCAGACAAACATCCACCTCTGTAGGATCTTGAGCAAATCCTTCTCTTCTTTGGCCTTACCTTCCTCATTCTGTGTCCACCATTGTTCTGCTGAGCTCCCTACAGACAGTGAACTACCCTTGGGGGACATAAAGCAAGAAAATCTCCTTAGCCATTCTCTATGAAAATAATTATATAAGGCCAGGCATGGTGGCACATCACTGTGTGGTGCCTTAATCCCAGCACTCAGGAAGAGGCAGGCAGATCTGAATATGAAGCCACCCTGGTCTACATGGCAAGTTCCATGCCAGCCACGGCTATACAGTGGGACCTTATCCTAACAAATAAAATAATTATTTGAAAATACCCGAGGATTCTCTAAGACCAAATGTTTCTTCCCTTCACTTGTTAAAATTCTTTTGCCATCTGAAGCCAAGTTGAAGTATATACATTGCTTTGAATTTGCTTTTTTTCCTGAGAATATTGTTCTCGAAATAATTGCTTAGATTTTAAGAGCTCTGATGTTCTTTTTGCTCTGTGTGTGTGTGTGTGTGTGTGTGTGTGTGTGTGTGTGT